ACTTTGAAAAACTTTGACGAAAACTTTGACACTTTGAAAAACTTTGACGAAAACTTTGACACTTTGAAAAACTTTGACGAAAACTTTGACACTTTGAAAAACTCTGGCGAAAACTTTGACACTTTGAAAAACTTTGGCGAAAACTTTGACACTTTGAAAAACTTTGGCGAAAACTTGGATGCTTTAAAACTTTGAAAAAGTTTATTGGAAACTTTGACACTTTAAAAAACTTTATCAAAAACTTTTTTCTTCGAGAAACTTTATCAAAAACTTTGACACCTTTGAGAAACATTATCGAAGTCTCTGATACTTTGTTAAACTTAATCGAAAACTTGGATACTTTGAAAAACTTTGTCGAAAAAATTTAACACTTTGAAAAACTTTGTCGAAAACTTGGATACTTTAACACTTCGAAAAACTTTATCGAAAACTTTGAAAAACTTTATCGAAAACTTTGAAAATTTAAAAAATTTTATCGAAAACTTGGATACTTTAACACATAGAAAAACTTAATCGCCAACTTTGACACTTTAAAAAACTTTATCGAAAACTTTGAAAATTTAAAAAACTTTATCAAAAACTTGGGATGCTTTGAAAAACTTTATCGAAAAGTTTGATACTTTGAAAAACTTCATTGAAAATTCTTATACTTTGAAGAACTTTGGCGAAAACTTTAACACTTTGAAAAACTTTGGCGAAAACTTTGACACTTTGAAAAACTTTGACAAAAACTTTGACACTTTGAAAAACTTTAGCGAAAACTTTGACACTTTGAAAAACTTTGGCGAAAACTTTGACACTTTGAAAAACTTTGGCGAAAACTTTGACACTTTGAAAAACTTTGACGAAAACTTTGACACTTTGAAAAACTTTGGCGAAAACTTTGACACTTTGAAAAACTTTATTGAAAACTTTGACACTTTGAAAAACTTTGGCGAAAACTTTGACACTTTGAAAAACTTTGGCGAAAACTTTGACACTTTGAAAAACTTTGACGAAAACTTTGACACTTTGAAAAACTTTGGCGAAAACTTTGACACTTTGAAAAACTTTGGCGAAAACTTTGACACTTTGAAAAACTTTGACGAAAACTTTGACACTTTGAAAAACTTTGGCGAAAACTTTGACACTTTGAAAAACTTTGACGAAAACTTTGACACTTTGATTTACTATACGAGGGGCGTTCAATAAATAATGTCATTAGCTCGATGACATACAAAATAGTAGTCATGTGACATAAAGCTTGACTTTCTCTCATTATTGAATCTTTAATGAATTTATGACAGTTTATGTGACCACTTTTCATCACATAGTTTTATCGTGAGAAGCTGAGAAACAAGGGCTATTCGAGACACTGCATTATAAATGAATGGTAAAGAATCAGTAAACTAGAGTGAAAATAAAAGCTACGTTAAAGCTGATGTAAAACTTGTTAAAAATCCCAAAGAAATATTCAATGAAATATGTGACATTTACAGCAACCGATGCCTGTTTTATAGAAAAATTAGCAGGTGGATTTCAAAGATAAAAAAATATATAATGGGCATCAAAAATGGGTACCATCCTTGCCAACAAAAATTATAACAACTTATGTGATGTTTGCCAAATTTCAACAAATAATATTTGGTGTTGTATGATTGACTTTTAGACACATAGCAAATTTGATAGACATCATATCGGGAGTAGTTTACACTGTGTTTAAGAAAGTTTGACGGTAATTAAGCTTGGTACTCTAAGGTCACCCTGTATTTTGAAAAATGAGTGAAAAAGACATCGTGTACAAAAGTCTTAACAATTATTTTAAAATATCAGTAATTGTAGTAATCCACGTTTGTTTTATATTCAAACAGATATTGGAACATGAATCTATTGCTTAAAACCATTAAAACAAAATTTACTATAAGATGTACTTGATAAAAACGGCGAAGGTCTGTCAAGAGCAAAGGTATGCAAGAGCACAAAAATAGATTTATATGCAATTTTCTTAAATATTAGTGGTATTATTGTTCAAATTCGTATTCGGGGAGCCAGTTTAATATCTGGAGGTGTCTAGAAAGCAATTTTTTTGCAAAGAAATCGAAAGGTTTATCAGAGAAAGGACCCAGAATCAGGAATCCACTGCATTGAATTTCTTCATGACAGCGTTTAAACCTGCATGCCCTAAAAAGTAAAGGGGGTTACGGGATAAACAGAAAGTTAATGTTTTTTCACATTAACAATATATGCCAGATCTTTGACCTTTTGACTTATTTCTATTTCCAAACTTGAATAAAACCCATTTCAGAAGGATAAAACAAGTCCAGGAAATCATTGGATCTGCCATTTTCCAGTATACTAAGGGTCATATCCAAAAATGAGTTCTGAAAACAATCAGAAATTGGATAAAAAAATGTTACGGACATGTGTGTGAATTAAAATAGATTAATAAGTAAAATCATGAAGACTAAATCATTGAAAAGCGTCGTTTGCTTCTTTCTGAACCCCAATGACATTATTTATTGAACGCCCCTCGTAGTTAACTATAGTTAACTATAGTTAACTATAGTATTTTTTTGTTAGGGAATATTCAACGTTGAAAAATGACCCCCGGGTCAATTTTCAACTCGGGTCAATATTCAACGTTACACCGAATTAAGTTTATACGATTATTTTGTACGCATTTTGCTAAACGGATAAATTTCTTTCGTCAGCATAGCTCCCTTTTTCAAACTTAATTTGTAGTTCATACGACATTGACTGCTGTTTTTAAACACTTTCAAATAGGTAAACTAAACAATGTATCAAAAACATACAGGATGTCCCAAAACATATGTTACACTTTTAATCACATGTACACACAAAGATATTTTGTCAACTTCTAATGAATTAGCATACATTTTATCGGACAAAAGAGCAAGAGCCATGTTGGGCCTTATTTGGCCCTGAGAATTTCAGAAAAATCGAAACCGCTCAGTTTAGCTTGCAAGTGTAGTATTTATTACTTGGAGTGTTGGTGATCATGTGTCTATTAATTGTGACGCAATTTTTCATTTAGTCAATTGTTTATGACGTCATCAAATGCGTCATTTTCCTCATATTGTGTAAATTCCTTTAAAAATGGCCTAAAATTGAGGAATCTTTTCAATATTTCATATGGAGCACAACCTCTGATCCAAATTATACAAATACATAATGAAAGCTCTGTTTCTGAATATCAAATAACATGTTTTATTTTTTGGATCGTGGGCTGTGCTCATATTTAAATTCTTTGCTGAAGGTAATCAAATACGCATATTTTCTGCAAATTTCAAGAACATTGCAATTTCTCAAAGCCTGTTTTCAAATATTTGGATTCTCAAAACGAAATTTCATTATACAACATGAAAGCTCCAAGTGTCTACTTTATTTTGACATATAAAATGGGAAAGAGGGTGATAGTTAATTATTTGATATAAGTACAGGGCCATATATGCATAACTTGGCTCTACCTCTTTCGAGAACTTTCTGTTCAAGAATCAGGTAATAATAATGTCCTAATAACGTCATCATATTTTGATATGGAAGCATCAGACGAAGAGCTGGTAGAAATTGTAAAACTTTACTATCGGTCTAAAATTGCTACTTAAGTCATTAGTACCACGAAAAATCAACATCCTGTTATGAAAGTTCTCAACAGAAAACAAAGCTTGGTAAATAAAAACAATTTTAATTCAAGGGACGTCATTTGGAACATGTTATTAAATGACATATGTTATTCTAAAGAAAAAAATATTGATGATTAATAAGGAAACTGTGAGAACTGTATGCTTCGCAAAAAAATTATAACAATTTTATTATAAATTTTAAATATCATCATTGTAACTTGAGACATGAAAGTTTTAAAACGGTTTAAAAATTTAACATATGTTTTGGGACACCCTGTATATCGCTGATTGACAAGTAACCCTTCAATTATTTACTACTTGTAAAAATGTAACATCTAATTCAAGAAAGGACTTAAGCCAGAATGTACAAAAATCCGCCCTGTCATCGAAACGGATGAAACTTTTTCAAACAATGCTCTTAGATTAGTATATTATATAACATTTTATTTTTTAACAATATCTCTTCTAGTTTTATTTTTACAGCTGTTTGAATTTGGTATTGTTCTCAATGTTAATTCTACAACGTCATGACGTTGCCGTTACTTACTTTAACGTCATGACGTCAATCATATATACTTAAACGTCATGATGTGAACTTAATTAGTAATAAACATATATATATTCTAAAGAGGAGAAAATTTAATTATTTTTATATAAATCTCAATTTATCATGGTTTTTTCAAAGAAATTCTGAGGCATGGAAAAGAGTTTAGTGTTTGCTTTTCTTATAGTCTGTACTTCTCTAAAGAAAATATATATACTTCATAAGCAGTAACGCTGTTTACCATTTCACAAATGTAACAGTGTCAATTTTAAAATAATAATAACAACAAAATTATCAGTTTTGTAAACATTTGTATTTCTTGCTCCAATAGTATTCATAACAATACATAAAATATTGAAGTAAACTTCACTTTAACATATTTTTAAGGTAAATCATGAAAATACATAAATCAGAAAATGTGTATATGCAAAGTCAAGCTATGTCTTTTTACTGATTATTGCTACAATATCACACCCGACATAAATCTCACACATGAAATTATAAACAGGTAAATTGAAAAATAACACTCTACATGAGATTATAAACAGGTAAATTAAAAAATGATACTCTACATGCAGAGCGGCCCAATTTCCGCATCCGACTTAAAACTCACACATGAGATTATAAACAGGTAAATTGAAAAATAACACTTTACATGAGATTATAAACAGGTAAATTAAAAAATGATACTCTACATGCAGAGCGGCCCAATTTCCGCATCCGACTTAAAACTCACACCGCAGATTAAACAAGTAAATTGAAAAAATAACATAATTTTTTTTAAAAACATATATACAACATATACAATGTATATAAAATAACAATGAATAAAATACAATGAACATTAACTAACTGTTCACTCCTCGGGAACACTTTCACAGCTACTGTCATCACTGTCAGACTCGTCCAAAGCAGGTGGGATGTCAGCTGCATCAAGGACATGCTCACTCCAGTCACGCACACCATATGTCCTTTGTTCATGTCTTCCTTTTGCCAGGTACCAAATGATGGCTGCTATGTGAGAGCACATGCCCACAACTCTGGCACCCGCTCTGCAGGTACAATACCATGCCTCTACAGAGTAATCAGAATACTCAATCCAAACTAAATACTGCTTTGATGATGTGTGCCGACTCTGAATTTTCACCTTTAGGAGCCTATCATTTTCTTTATGGAAGAAAATATCACATCCTCCCTCAATGTGTTCTTGAATGTAGCTACGAGAGAGCTTCAATTGATAGGTGCCACAAGTCAAATTCCGCAACTGATCCTCATCCAACATGGGGAAATTCTGAATTTCACATTCAAGAACTGTTTGCCATTGAGTAGATCTTCTGTTAAGTCCATTCTCTTGAACCATTCGTTTGAGATTATTCACCTATTAAGAAAGCCATACGCATGTTATTATAACTTAATATATACTCAGATGTATTCAAGGGAGATGAGCAAGATGAAATTTAAAAAAGTTAAATGTATTCTTAAATGCAGATTTTTGCAGCTGCTCAATTACTAGTACATTAAGGTATTATACAATAAATCAATTGTGCATTACTTAAATACCTGTTTGGACAGATAGAGCATTTTTGCTGCCTCTGCATCATCAGCCTCAGTGCTGTTACTTTTACTCAGGGGTGGAGAGAATCTGTTTGAGAGTGCGCAAATTATCCTGACATAGTCACCGATGAAGGGAATTTGATTAGTGGGTAGTGTCTTGTCCAAATATCGCCACCTCTTGATACGTGCGTTTGAAGATTCCACTACCCATCTGACCTAAAAAATATTTTTTCAAAACTTATTCATAGTAATATATTTTCACAAGAAATTGTAAATAACTTTATTGCGAGAATTTACATGTTATTTACCTTTGTCACAAGTCTGCTCATATTTGCATCATCAGTAGTCATTTGGTTTTGTCCCTTGAGCAGAAATCGGGGCATTTCTGCCTGGATTCCAAGATCTTCAAGCAGAGGCAAAGCATCTCTGAACCCGCGGTCAACAATAAAGATGTCGTCTTCACTTAGCCAGCTCCGAATATCTTCAGCATTTGTTTTGATGATGTGTTGGAGAATTGATGCATCATTGTTTTTATTATCAGCAAGGTATGGTCCTAAGATAGAGACAAAGTAACCAGTAGTAGTCACGATAACCATAGGCTTGATTAGTGGTCTCCCCTTGTGGATGCTGTAAGAACGTCTTTGGTAGTGGAAATTATTGCTCTTAGCTGTGTATATGTAAGTGCCATCCAGTACCAATATGGCCTGTTTCTTGTCGATGTTACCAAACAGTGTCTGTGCTAGCTGTCGTGTATGGTCTTCGATGACTTCCTCTCTTCTTATGTGTTCAAACCCAAGATGGTGTGGCACAAAGCTGATCATCAATGCTGCTCTTACAGCACTAACAGCCCTCCTTAAACTGGATTTGGAAGTTTGGAAAAGTGTTGACAGTATTTGATTTGACAAGCCAGTCTTTAATTTGCACAGGAATATGGCAACAGATTTTCTTAGACTCCTAGACGGTGTTGGTTTCACTTCATCTTTCACAGCGTCACATATTGTATGGAAATCTTCCTTGTTGAGTCCCAGCAAAGACAAATAGTCTGTATCGGTCAGAGTCGTGGTGTCATCAAAGTCCAAATAAGACTTGTCATGTTTATGACATAATACACGCATCTCTTGAAGTAAACTTAGGATGGTAGTTCTGTTAACAAATGCATTGTCTGTCGTTGGTAATTGCTGAATAGCATCAGTTGTGAAGCGTTCATTTTCCACATGACCAGGACAACATCTATTTCCAGATGGAATTAATATATTGTGTTCAATGAAAACAGATGTGCGGCATTCTGGTGACACTACTATCAATTTGGGACCTGGTTTCTTACAAACGATACAATAGGCATGAGTCTTTGCAGTGGATTTCAGTTGTAAGGATACAGATGGTGGACTGGAGAGATGTTTTCTGTGGTCATTTGTTTCGGACGCTGGACATTCCCTGTGAATTGTGGTAGAGCAGGGTGTTGCAGATGATTTGCGGCATGAAACATCTCTGTAATAATTGCTTCTACATTTGCTGCAGATGACAGAATTTTCCCTTCCTTCCACCATAAACCTTTTTCTTAAATATTTTCTTATGCCTTTGTCAAGATGCCTCCTTTCATTAGGTTTTGTTCTTTTAGAGCACAATACACAGTTGAAGTATTCAGTTTTGTGTCCTGGCATTATCTGAAATTAAATACAAGAACATTTACATTTTATAAATTATTCAAGCTAATTATGAAAAATAATTCGTTTTACCTTTCCAACTGAATAAAATGATTTTTTTTTTATCTTACTGCCATAATTATACCCCCCGCTTGAAAAGCGAGAGGGTATATAACAATCGGTATGTCCATCCGTCCGTCTGTCTAGCTGTCTGTCCGTCCGTTATGCTTTGGGGTACCCATCTCTTATCCGCAACTAGCTCCTCTCATACCAATGAAACCTTTATCTTTATTACATATTGCCATTGTGCACCTCCTATTTTACTTTTTTACCTGACATATATTTTTGATTTTCCAGAGCAAAACATGGACACTGCCATTATATTCATATGGGAGGGGGGGGGGGTGGGGTGGGGGGGGGGGGTGGGGGTGGGGTATCATTTAGTGAGCTCATTGCTCACAGTACCTCTAGTTTATTTTAAACTACAGCCAAAACGGCTGATTAAAATCTTTTGAAAATATCTTCTCAATCTCATCCAGATTAGAATTACAATAAAAATTTCATCCCATGTATGCTCAGATTCATGGACTTACATATTGTTAAAACTTTGCCTGAGGAAGGACATGGATTTTTACATCATTATACAAAAATTGTCTCCTTCCTCTGGGAATACTTTAAAGATATTTGATTGAGTTTAACCACCTCAAATACTGTTGCTTTATTTTTGTTTTATAAATCCTTCTAAACTATTAATTTCTTACTGTGGTTTTCTACAATACATACTCCTTTTCATTTTATTTTATATATGCACACGCCTTGAGATCCACCCCCCATTCCAGCAATTTATATTTAATTTATGAACAACAATAAAAAAGTTGCAGAATTATAATAATAAAATTGATTTTGGCTGTTTATTATTTTAAAATATTTACTACTATTTATATTCTAATAATTTTGCTTAAACAAGCTATTTTTTACATTGTTGTTTATATTATTTTAAGAAAAAATCATTATTAAAGAAAAATCATTAAAAATATATTTAAATAGAACGTGAATTTTTCAAAGAGAGGTAACTCATGAAAACAAAAACAAAACACCCCCTGATGTTGAATATCTGTGTTAATGTGTCTATTTTTTGTAAATTATGACTATTAAAATATAAATTAATATTTTTACATTGATATATGGTCTTGTAAACATGGTAAATATGTGCTGTACTTTAATTAAAAAAAAAAAAGAAGAGGGGATTCAGATTGACATGTTCCAGTGTTATCATTGCTCATCATATTGGTGTGAAATTTAAAATGAACTTACTAGATACTCATATGCCTAACGTTTCATACAGATTTGAATAAAATCTTAATTTAGACTTATGCCGATCTTTTTTGCATCTCAATCACACGTACTACAATAAACTTTGATATAGATATGCATTATTGCATACCATGCTGACAGTAGTCCGAAAAATCTGACGTTTTCCTGGCTTTTTTGCGATCTTGATAGTTTACATACCAGGAATAGTCCGATTTCCTGGCTTTTTTTACGATCTTAATAGTTTACATGCCAGGAAAGTAAAATATCAAAATCGTAAAAAAGCCAGGAAAACGTCAGATTTTTCGGACTAATCTGACAGTACATCACGCTGCAGACGACATATGGGTCAAGCGAGCGGTCCATGTATTATCAGCTCAGAATCATCCTATTATATTGATGCATGTGTATTTTAAAGCTTACTTTACTTTTTTGTTTAGAAGAATATAAAAGATACTCACCACAACAAAGTCATTTAACTTCTCTATCTTCAGTCGATTGTAACTGCATTCTGGATAGTCAGTTATTTTATCACATCGGGATCGGAAATTCCTATTTTTCACAGACGCAAGTTTTATATCGAGTGGATTTTATATCCTTTAAAATTTATTTACGGCCTCAATAAATTATTAAAAAATAAATCATTTAATATGACTAATTAAGTTTAACCTCTATTTATACTAGGCCGTACTGAGAGAAAAAAAATCCGGAAATTATCTTTTACTCAAGTCAGGCATCAAAGTACTGAAAAGTATCATTTAAGTAGGGCGCCACACGTGAACCATCAAAAACCAAATGAATTATGGAATAACATGTATCATTTTAACTGTGTTTAAAATTTCATCATGGTTCAAGGTTGGCGCCTACAAAAAATCGCTGTACAAAGGTCTAAATTTCTTTGAAACTCGGTATTTTTGCATTACCGCATCCGGTTTTGATGTTTATAATAAAGCACGTGCTGTTTCCTTCCCAAAAATCAAGACGGCGACCAAAGGTTAAACACCTAATAAATATTTGGCCAAAGTTTCGCTGCTTAATAATGAAGTTTGGTTTTCAGGAATTGACAGGGCCAAATCATGCAGATTTTGGCGTTAGTTCTTTAGAGGGTATTTTAGCCTAATTTTAATAAATAACCATATATTTTTAAAAAGTGAATCAAGAATTATCATATATATAAGGATATTACAGTTCCCCACCGTTGTTGTTATTTCTCTTACGATTGTTCGAAGTTTGTCACATGAAGGAGATGGATAACTTTTACCCAGTCAGTTGCAAATCAATACCCAGTCGATGTATTACGTAATTAACTTAACACGACGTCATAATAGGCACAGAATAAGCACCGCCTCGCCAGGTCTGAAATTTACAATAAAGGGTTATTTTCGCCTTGTTTTATTT